CACAGGTATTTGGTATGCATCTTCCAAGAAATATCTCGACTCTGTCGTTGACTTGTTTACTTTACGCTTTCTCTTCTTCTTACCCGCCTAAATTGCAATTAAGCTCCATCTAATTTTTGCTTGGCCTAATTTTGTTACTAGTATATCAACTTCCTCTAATTTCTTCTGCTAATCCTGCAGGTACACCATTAATCTAGTTCTTCAATCTTGATTTTGTTATGTTCTCTATGTATATTAAACAAAAATGTCTCAGTTTTGTTGTGGATCCCATGACCCTATTAACAAAGAACATTCTTTCTCAGTAGGTTTCTCAACCTTTGAATTGTTTGTGTTTACCTGTAAATAGAAGCTCATCAATTCAGAGGCTTGATTTAAAAAAACTTTAGATTTCAAGTTAAACATATCTAGTTCAAATTTTAGGGGTAAATACTATAACTCAAGTGATGCATTAATGGCAATGCTATATTTACTATGCCATGTAAGATTGCATGTTTACAATTATAATCCAACATTAAATTAGTGTAATGTGTCATTAAAAGAGTGGATATATACAATATTAAGAATGAACATCTGATTAAAAAGAATCAATTGTATAAAGATACATTATATTGTAAGTTTTAATTTCACGTGACATTATAATTATATTATTTTTTATGCATTAATTATCTAAAATTTGAAGTGAGTGATTAAAAATTTATGTAAGACTTACAAGTGTGACTTATCCATACTCATTTTATTTAGGTCTTTGGATACAGGAAACAATATCTGCCATCTTTTCCCTACTCATGTATTATTTTTGTAAAAGTTTCTAAATTGATGAATGCAGGGCATTAATTTATTAGACCATTTTCGTCCCATCAACTACATTACTTGATCATTTGTTTATTCACTTTGCGCATATATTATCTTTTTTTTTTTCAGTTATAATCAAACTCGTAGAAAGAAGAGTTCTAATCAAGTCAGTCAACTTCATCTTCCTTCAAAACCATCTTCTTAATCTAATTACTTTTTACAAATTAATTGAGCAGACAAAGAACTGAACGCAAATTAAATTATGTGACATGCTGAGTGATGAAAATAGCTAGTGACAATTTTTCCTCTCCTTTTTAGCTTCACTTTTTCATCCTATTAAGCATTAAGTTATTCCTATCTTGCATTGTTTTTGAAGTTGTTGCATACATTTTAATACACATTGTGTTTCATTTTATAGGGCCTTTTCAATGGAGTTTCTAGTAAAGCCTATCATGGAATTGGTAAAGTATATGGGGAGGTCAACTTGCACCTATCTAGATTATCACGTAAATTTTGATGAAGCTGTGAGTGATCTGAGAAGAGAATTGCAAGTTCTAAACAGGCGAAAAGAAGGTATAAATTTAAGCATACAGTCTAAGGCTAGTTGGAGAAAAGAAGTAAAACATGAAGTGCAAGGCTGGCTTGAACGTGTATAAGAAATCAATAATGAAGTGCAAACCATTCAAGAAAAGATTCAGAGAGTTAAGTGGTACTCAAAGGGCCACCTTGGGAAACTTGTTCGTAAGAAAATTGAGGTGGCGAAGAGAATCTATGACCAAGGTAGTTTTGCTGATGGTCTCATAGTCACAATTGACAGATCTCCAGACCGAGGAATCACATTGCCAACTCAGAATGTAGTGGGTGAAAATTCTACAAAAGAAAAAATATGGGGATACTTGATGGGCAATGAGGTCGGAATGATTGGAGTTTGAAGGCTTGGTGGAGTTGGAAAGACTACTATTATGAAAAATATCAATAATGAATTGGTGACGTAGACTCAGTTTGATAAACTGATTTGGGTCACTATATCTTACCCACTCCATGTAATCAAATTACAAGAAAATATCGCTCCTACTATTGTTGTGGATGATAGACAGGGACTCCCAAAAGATGAGGACAAAGAGAGGCAAGCGGCTGCATTGTTGAGCATCATGGGCAAAGTAAGACGTCCTGATACTAGATGATGTTTGGGAAAAGTTTTCTCTGAATGATGTGAGAATTCAAGAACCAACAATTCAGAATGGGAGCAAAATAGTCATCATTAGTAGATCCATTGATGTGTGCCAAAGAATGGCCTGTGAGATAGTCAAAGTTGAACCTTGATAGATTTTTGGATGAAGAAAATTAAAGAACTCAGTAAAAGACTTTGATGAAAAAAACAGGTCTGGATTTTCCTTTTTCCAGCCTTTTCTCTCATTCATTTCATCTTTATCTTCATCTTGAAGTCTGATTTGGTTGACAATGTCTATCAGCTTGTTTGAGTACTGATGGACTGTCTCTGTCTCTTTCATGGTTAACATTTCAAATTGCCTTTTCAGTGTAAGCAGGTTGTTGTCTTTCACTCTGTTGTCACCTTCAAACTCTTTTTGAAGAGTATCACAAGCACTTTTTGCTGTTTCTGCCCTCATGATTCTTGAAAAGATTGAGTCAGCTATTCCATTATGGATGTATGAAAGGGCTTTGTAGGAGTTTTGAACATATTCTGCATGTTGCTTCAACTGTGTTACAGTTGGGTTGTTTGGTAGCCTGGGAAGATTAAAGGCATTTTCTACTGAGTCTGACACACCGTTGCCTTTTAGGAATGCCTTCATTTTGATGGCCCACATGTTGTAGTTTTGACCTGTGAACAGAGGAGGATTGGAAAAAGATCCTATTGATGTGTTGTTTGTAGTCATGGCTATGTTTCTTTGCTAGCAAAGCCTCTCTCCCTCACTGACTCTCGTGTTTACTCTCTCTTACACACACCTTTCACTATTTTGTTCTCACAGGTCCCTCAAGAAGTGAAGCTCTGATACCAAGTTAAGATTTCGATTTTGAAAAGAAGGGTTTGAAAGAGAGCACTTGGAGGAGAAGAAGAGACACCCGTGGAGTTACCTCATTTGATGAGGTCCAACCCAATTTTTTCATTCATCTTCTGCCATTATATAACAGAAACCTCATAATACATAAACATTAATTTTCTCACCAAATCTTTACCTAATACAAGAAAATCTAACAAACATTTAATGCAAGATTACATTCAAAGATTTGCTGCCATTTTGTGCGGCTCCATGTGCTGTGTTTTGTTGCTACTTTGCAGCCTCATTTCCTTTCATTTGCTGCCACTTGTGCAGCTTCATGTGGCTGTACTTGCTGCTACTTTGCAGCCTCATTTGCATTTCATTTGCATTTCATTTTAGCCTCATTTCATCAACATTTTCATTTCATTTGCATTTTCATTTGCTGCTCTTGGTCCAGCTTTGACAGCACAACTCCAACAAACCTCTTTCATTTTAGGAGTCTCTTAACTTATTCTTAGATAAAGTTGGGCATCATATTGTAGAAGTTCCAAATTTAGAAGGAATCTTGAAGCTAGTTATGAAGGAGTGTGGTGGCTTACCACTGGCCATTGTTGTGATAGCAGAGAGTGTGAAGGGAGAAGATGATGTTAAAGTGTGGAATAATGCCCTAACTGAATTACGGGAACGGGTAAAGAGTGTGAATGGTTCAGATAAAGAGATATTTGAGAGGTTAAGATTTAGTTATGATCGGTTGAATAGTTTTAAAATCCAAAATTGTTTTCTTTGTTGCTCCATGTTTCACAAAGATTATCCATTTAGAACAGGAGAGTTGATAGAAGGGTGGATTGATGAAGGACTAATTGATGGGTTGCCTATTAGAAAAGCAGCTTAGGATAGGGGCCATGCCTTTTTAAGTAGGCTTGTAAAGAATTGCTTGTTAGAGAAAACTATTGATGTTGGATAAATAAGGGGTTAGAAAATAGATCATTAGATCATTGGCTTCAAGGTGTGCTGCAAATGCCACTTTCCTTTAGGCTAATTTCGCCCCCACCAAATCTGGTATGCAAAAGGGGTAACCTGAAATGCTCATAGGATACAATGAAGCGCCTTGTTGATCTAGCCTTTGCACTAGCAAGATCAACCACTGAACCATCCTTTGGAAAGCGACAAAACAATAGTTTTTGTATAGAGATTTCTCGAGCAATCGCAATACAAAAAGGGACTATTTTATTTAGATATTTTTGGGTTCAAATAGACTCTATCAAAAAAGAAGAGATAACTCCATATTTATAGGGCAAGATGTCTCTTGGAATTGACACTTCTTTTCAAGATGTCTATTGGAAACAAACACTTCTTTTCAATTTTTATCCGTTTGAAACTCTTCCAAAAGTCCTTTGGTTTGATTTGAATTTCAATTCACGTGTTCCTTTGCCTTCTAAAGTTATCCACTCTCTTTTGAAACTTATCGGAATTCTATCTCTGATTTCTAACGTAAATGGTTCGAACCAGATAAATGTGGTTCGAACCAAAATCGTAACTTTCCGGATTCTGGTTTTACGTAAATGGTTCGAATCATAATTATATGATTCGAACCAAAATTACAGTTTCTCACATGCAGTTTGTGCAATTGCTTTGAACCGATTTTTTGTGATTCAAACCCAAATCCTGAAAATATTTTGAAAATTCTTCAACAGTTGATTGGGAAGGTGATGTTTTTAAGATGCATGATTTAATGAGAGACATGGCTATTAAAAGCATTGTCCTTGAATTGGGATATATGGTAAAAGTTGGAATGAAATTGACAGAGGTACCAGATGAGAATGGGTGGGGAGAATATCTCAAAAAGGTGCCTTTAATGGAGAATTAAATATCGAAAATTCCCCTTGGGTTATGCCCAGAGTGTCCAACTCTTTCAACTTTGATATTGTCAAATTATCGTAATTTGTCAAAGATCCCAGAATCCTTCTTTGAAGGGATGCTTGAACTAAAGGTTCTTGATCTTTCTCAAACTAGTATTGAAGCTTTACCTAATTCCATCTCAAACTTGGAGAAGCTCTCTTCCTTGAGGTTAAGGTGGTGTTACAAGTTAAGGTATTTGCCTTCTTTA